AAAAAAGTGAGAGAAAGACCACCGCGTTTCTCGGCGTTTCGAGCTGCGCCCAGGTGTACATACACCCCAGGGCGCGGCCAGCGGTGTAAACTTTTGGAGTTTTTTGCATTTAAAAAAATAAAAAAAGAAAGAAGACAAGAATTAATTCTTTGCCACTTTAAAAGACTCTGAGGCCTTTTAAATGATGCAAATTAGAAAAGAAATGAAAACATTTTCGCTTTTAAATATTTCAACTCTGTGTGCTGCGGGAGGCTTGGGGTGTACGTACAGCCCAAAGCGCCGTGAAACTGACTTATTTGAGTTAATTAAAAGCTCATTAATTCAAATAATAAAAAGGCCATTTAAATGAAATAGTCAAACATTCAAATATAGTTTTGAATTCTTTTTTGCATAAATGTATTTTTTAATTTGCACGCGGCAACTTCTTGTCGTCTTTGCCTTTCATAAAAAAAGTAAAAATAAAAATGAACTAATTCGCTAATAATAGCACTAATATAAATAATAGTAATAACAGTAATAATAATAATAATAGTAAAAATAATAATAATAATAATAGGACTAAGTAATAATAATAATAATAATAATAATAATAAATAATAATAATAATAATAATAATAATAATAATAATAATAATAATAATAGTATTGCCATTATTACTACCATTTAAAAGTACAAAACAGAAACTGTGAAAAAGAAAAAAAAAGAAAAAAGAAAATTTGCAGCGGCTTTTCTCCGCAGAAGCAAAAGTGAAATGTTGCAGCAAACCAAAAGTCTTTTTCCTTTTTATTTTCTTTTCAAATAAAAGATGTGTTAAAATTAAAAACTTTTATTTATTTATTTATTTATTTAGTTTATTTATTTATTTATTTATTTATTTATTTGCTTATTTATCTGAAATATAGCACATGTTCATAAACAATACATTTGTTTATTTTTTAACTTCATGTTTGTAAAAGATGTAATTGCACGAAGTTGGAGATTGTCTTTTGAATTTATTTCTCTTTTTTTAATTTGCATGCATTTGCAAAAAGGAAAAAATCTTTTTTGAATTTTAAATAAAAACAAAAGCAAAATGAATAAAAGGTTTTCTTCTTTTGAACTTTTATTCTTTTCTTCTTCTGGAGATTTCAATCTTGGAATTAAAAAAGAAAAGAAATTATAAATAATTAATTTTAAATTTAAAAAGTAATTCTTTTCCTTTGCAATGCCCACGACAGTCTTGGCTGCTGTACGTACACCGCAGCAAATGGGGAGTGTCTGCTGCAGCTCTCAGGTGTACGTACACCCCGGCGCAGCAAAAACCCCCAACTCTGCAGCACCAGAGGGGCCCCCAAAGGGGCCCCTAAGGGGCCCCTAAGGGGCCCCAAGGGGGCCCCAAGGGGGCCTCAAGGGGGCCCCAAGGGGGCCCCAAAGGGGCCCCTAAAGGGCCCCAAAGGGGATCCAAAGGAGCCCCAAAGGGGCCCCAGAAGATTTCATTTCTTTTCATGCGGTGTACGTACACCGGAAAGGCGCAGCAGACACTCCCCATTTGCTGCGGTGTACGTACAGCAGCGAAGTGTGCAGTGGGCATTTCTTGGAGGATTTCTGCAGCTTTTATTTTTTGAAGTTTCAATTTAGTTTTTTCATTTATAATTCCTTGGTTTATCAATTAATGAATTAAAACTCCTTTTTAGTGGTTTTCGAAAGATCTGATGCAGCTATTGGCTTCAAAGAGCTTCTTCAGAAAGTCTTTTATACATATTATTCAACTATTCCATTAAAAGGCTTTTTCGCAAAGATGATCTTTTCTCCAAAGACAAAAACAAAACAGTTTTATTTTATTCCATTTTTGATTTTATTCTGCAGAAAACTTTATTTTATTTCCGAAGCGTTTTCAATGTTCTGCTGCTGCTCCAATGAGACAGGTCTGTCTTGCTGCATTCGAGAGGTCTTTGCAGGCAAATGAGGCACAAAATAACGAACTTATTGGATTAAATTAAAACGAATTTAAAGTTGAATTAAAATAAATTCAAAATTAAATTGAAACGAATTTAAATTCAAAGAAGAATGGACTCATTGGGGCAAGTTTCCTGTGTCTGGAGAGGCCTCAAAGCGGTGACCTTCGTCGGCCCTGCACCATTTTCGCCGCGACAAGTCCCAAAACGCGGAAACAAAAGCTCAAATGCATTTAAAACGCAAAAACAATTTAAATAATGTTTAAAAATAAGTTTTAAATTCAAAAAGAGAGTTAAAATGCGCTGGAAACTGCCGAGACACCCGGCGCCGGTGCAGGCCGAACAAGACACGGCACTGGACTGCGGACACTGGCGGCAAATCGACCTGTGGAAACGCGGGAAAAAGTCCGTTTTGTTTGCAAATAAACAATTAAAAAAAACAAAAATGAATAAAAAAAGATTTAAAGAGTTTTATTTGCCATTTTTAACCCATTTAATCCTCGTTTTCAACAGCATGTTCGGCCTCGTCGTGGCCCCCCTGGCTAGCAGGTGTACGGGCCTCAGCAGACACCGCGGCGCCGCCCTCAGTCGCCGCAGTCTGCCATTCACTTTTATCTTTTTATTCAATTTTAATTTGCGATTTGAAAACAAAAATTATTTATTTGAATTGTTCGTTTGAACTCTGCAATTCGCCTCCTCTTTCATCGCTCGCCAAGTTCAACTTGAATCGCCGGACAAGCCCGCGCCGCGCCGTCGAAACCTGAACGGCCAAACTTCGCGGAATTTCATCGGAATTTCGGAATTATTTGTTCAAAATAATATTTAAATTTCCAAATATTTGCATTTTAAAAACGCGTGAGACTCAGAAAAGTCCTTTTTGCTTCGGATCGCCTCTTGTTTCCCTCAACTTGAATATTCGGCAGTCACCGAGACGGCGCGATCAGACGCTATTCGGCGGAAAACAGTTCCTTTTTGAATTTAATTTGATCTTTTTTGGGTTTTATTTCAAGCTTTTTGAATTTATTTCAGATTTTTGAATTTTATTTCCTCTTTTTTGCGACTTTTCCGCGCAGATCTCGTCCCTTTTTGCAAATTCGCATTCAAAAGCTGAAAATGACGGTCTGCTGCTCGCAAGACGCAGCAGCAGCTGCAGCAAACTCTTCCGTCGAAACCAAAGACAGCAGCAGCTCCGCCGCCACGAGCGGCACTGTGACCGAAGAAACCAGCAGCAGCAGCACGAGTAAGCATTCATAAAATCAGCAGCAGCAGCAGCAGCAGCAGCAGCAGCAGCTTCCCGTTTGAATCCGCAGCAGCAGCAGCAGCTTTCCGTTTGAATCCGCAGCAGCAGCAGCAGCAGCAGCAGCTTCCGGTTTGAATCCGCAGCAGCAGCAGCAGCAGCAGCAGCAGCTTCCGGTTTGAATCCGCAGCAGCAGCAGCAGCAGCTTCCGGTTTGAATTCGCAGCAGCAGCAGCAGTAGCAGCTTTCTGTTTGAATCCGCAGCAGCAGCAGCAGCAGCAGCAGCTTTCCCTTTGAATCCGGAGTTGGAGTTGCAGAAAGCTAGACTTCTTCGGGGCTGTCTTTTGTTTTTTAAATCTTTTTAATTCAACTTTTCTTTTTTCTTTTCAGATAATTTGGAGTCTCCGGGAAAAACAAAAAGTCCAAAAAAAGAAGAAAACAAAAGTTCTTATTCGGAGTTGTTTTCGGCGCTTTGTTTGGCAATTGAAGAAAGAATAAAAGAGGCGCGTTCCAAAGAAGAGAAGCAGCAAGCAGCAGCAGCAGCAGCAGCAGCAGCAGCAGCAGCAGCAGCAGCAGCAGCAGCAAGAGCCACAGCTGCTGCAGACGCAGCAGCAGACAGGGAAAATAACCCGGAACTTTGGGCCCGCGTTGCTGAGGCGCTGCAGCAGCGAAGAGACATCAACAGAGCCAGATCCGGTCTTCGACTGAGAGTAAGAATTGCTGCTGCTGCTGCTGCTGCTGCTGCTGCTGCTGCTGCTGCTGCTGCTGCTGCTGCTGCTGCTTAATGGGCTTCTGATACTGGTGCTGTTTTGCTTCTCTGCTGCATTCCTTTGCGTTTTAGCCCTCCAGAATTGTGCCCAAGGGAAAGCCGTTCGGCGTTGCTGCTGCAGCAAACGCTGCTGCAGCAGCAAACGCTGCTGCAGCAGCAAAAGAAGCTGCTGCTGCTGCTGCTGCTGAAGAAAAAAGGAGACTCGAGAGAGCAGCAGAAATTCGATATGGAGCTGTTAGGGAATATTTGCGGATTCAGCGGGAGAGTTTTGCCGCCAATCTTCGTTCTGCTGCAGCAGCAACAGCAGCAGCAGCAGCTGCTGCTGCTGCTGCTCCTGCTGCAGAAGCTGCAGTGGTTCCCGCTGCAACCGTGGAGGCAGCAGAAGTTGCAGCAACCCCCGTTGCTGCTGCTGCTGCTGCTGCAGTTGTAGCAGCTCCCGCTGTAACCGCTGCAGCAGCTGCAGAGGTTGCTGCAGCTCCCGCTGCAGCAGCAGCAGAGGTTGCTGCAGCTCCCGCTGCAGCAGCAGCAGAGGTTGCTGCAGCTCCCGCTGCAGCAGCTGCAGAGGTTGTTGCAGCTCCCGCTGCAGCAGCTGCAGAGGTTGCTGCAGCTCCCGCTGTAGCAGCTGCAGAGATTGCTGCAGCTCCCACTGCAGCAGCAGCAGCAGCTGCTGCTGCTGCTGCTGCTGCTGCTGCCGTGGCAGCACCCTACAAATCTGTGAACTACAGCAGACAAATCTACTACCCAATAGACCAGGCGAGTTGCTGCAGCAAACTAAAAGTGGATTTCTTTCCATTTAATTTATTTTGAATTAATTAAATTAAACTAATTAAATTAAATTAAATTAAATTGTTTATTTTGCTGCTGCAGGCCACTGGCAAGAAAATGGATTTTCCTGTTTTCAAAAACATTTCCTGGAGAAGAAGTCAGGAGGAGGCTTCGGGTGTACGTACACTTGAAATCTTTGTGCCAATTTTTGTTTATTATCAACTAGTCATTTTTAATTTTTTATTTCAAAGTTGATTTAATAAATAAATACCTTTTCCGCAAAAAATGGGCTGCTTCTGCTGCATGTGTTGCTGCATGTGTTGCTGCATGTGTTGCTGCTGCTGCTGCTGCTGCTGCTGTTGCTGCTGCAGCAGCCGAAGCCGTACGGCTACCTGGGGAAGAAGACAACGCCTCCTCCATTTGTTGCGCGTTTTGAATTAAATCCTGATGGGACTTATCGCCGGAAAGTGGATCCCTTGGTGCAGCAGCAGCAGCAGCAGCAGCAGCTGAAGCAGCAGCTGCAGCAGCAGGTGCAGCAGCAGCTCAAGCAAAAGATGCAGCTGCAGCTGCAGGAACAGGCGCAGCAGCAGCTGCAGCAACGGCTGCAGCAGCAACAAGAGCTCCACCAACAGCTGCAGCAGCAACAGCTGCACGAACAGGTGCTGCTGCACCAACAGCTGCAGCAGCAGCTGCAGCAACAGCTGCAGCTACAACTGCATCTTCAGCAACAGCTGCAGCAGCAACGGCTTCATGACCAGCTGCAGCAACAGCAGCTGCAGCAACAGGAGCTTCAGGAACAGCAGCAGCAAGAGCAGCAGCTGCAGCAGCCGCAAGAACAGCAGCTGCAGCAGCCGCAAGAACAGCAGCTGCAGCAGCAACAAGAGCAGCAGCTGCAGCAGCAACAAGAGCAGCAGCTGCAGCAGCAACAAGAGCAACAGCTGCAGCAGCAAGAGCAGCAGCAGCAGGAACAGCAGCAGCAACAGCAGCAGCTGCTGCAGCAGCTGCAGCAAGAGGGCCGCGAGGTGTTTACTTCCGAGAGAGAGTTGCAAATTGCAAAACTAAGTTTATTTCCTGCTCTTGAAAGTTGGAACAAAATAAAAAAAGAAATCCACTTTTCCAAACGTGAGTCTTGCGGTGTACGTACACCCCAGCACGCGCATGCACACATCAAATATTCGCATTTCCGACTTATTGTTTTTTGTTTTTTTTCCTACACTTACTGTTCTATAAATCGCAGCAGCAGCAGCAAAAGCAGCAGCAGCAGCAGCAGCAGCAGCAGCAGCAGCAGCAGCAGCAGCAGCAGCAGCAGCAGCAAAAGCCTGAAATGGATTTCGAATTTTGTTTTTGATTTTTGCAGATGGGACAAATGTGCCTTTTGCGCCGCTGACTTCCGAAGAAGTTTTTAAGGCCCTGAAGTTGGTGGCGAAGAGCAAAAGTTGAATTCAAAAAAGTTGAATTTTTTTTTTAATTTTTTTCTTTTTTTTCTTTTTTCTTTTTTCTTTTTATTTCCTTTTAATTGTTCTTTTCCTTTTCCCGCGGATGCATTTCTTGGTTTGCATTTAATTGCGTCATTTCCGTTTTACTTAAAGAAAAGGAGGTTAGCCAAAGCCGTAAACGACGAAGAACCCTTTTCTTCTCGAAAAACTTCGTAAACTTCACCGTAAAACTTAATTTACCTTAATAAAAATTAAAGGCTTAAGTTTAGCTTAAGTAAATTTACTTTCTTGAGGTTGATTCAACTTTCCCCTAAGTTTTCTGCACGCGGCAGGCGAGCTGTCTGTACACCTCAGAAGCAGCAGGAGTCGTCTGCGGCGAAGCCGCTGCGGACTTGGCGTTAAAAAACTCAAAAGTGGGACAGTTTAGAATAAAATGCAAAGTTTTTATCATTTGAATTCTTTTGAACAAAAAATAAATTGAATTTATTTCTCCTTTTCAGTTCGCCGCGCACGCGGGCTCGCGGTGTCTGTACACCCGAACGTCGAAGAAGAAACACCGCGACTCCGCCTGCGCCGCGTCGCCCACAACTCCGACGAGCAGATCTGCTGCAGTGAAGAGTCTGAAGCAAATAAACAAATAAATAAATAAATAAAATAAATAAAATAAATAAATAAATAAATAAATAATTGGAAAAAAAGAATTCAAAAAGATCAACTGCATGTGCAAAAGTAGAGTTCAGACACACAATTCCGACGAAAAGATCTGCTGCAGTGAAGAGTCTGAAGCAAATAAATAAATAAATAAAATAAACAAATAAATAATAAATAAAATAAATAAAATAAATAAATAAATAAATAATTGAAAAGAAAGAATTCAAAAAGATCAATTGCAAGTGCAAAAGTAGAGTTCAGTCGGAAAGCTAAAAATGCGAAACGGACTTCTTTTTGTTTCCAGTTTGAACCCTTTGGCGTTTCAGTTCCTTCTTTTGACTAAATGATTTATATCTTTCATTAATTTGATTTATTTCTTTGATTAATTGGATTTATTTCTTCATTTTATTCATTTATTTCCTTTATTTCTTTTATTTATTTTATTTTTTCGCACTTTTCCTTGTGAGTTACGAAAATGGACTGCATTTTGCTTTGCCCCGAAATCTCTCTTATCAAATCCGCCAGTCGGCCCAAACGCGTTTTGTCCAAATGCCGCACGATTTCGTCCAACAGAAGAAAAGGGACTTTCTGCAAAATAAATAATTACATTTAATTTAATTTAGTTAATTTTATTTAATTTAATTAGTTTTATTTTAATTTAATTAGATTTAATTTAATTTAATTAATTAGATTTGATTTCATTTACTTAATTAGATTTAATTTAATTAAACATTTATATATATATATGTATATGCATATATATATATATATATATATACATATATATATATATACGCATATATATATATAAATATATATATATATATGCATATATATATATATATAAATATATAAACTTATACAGATTATATACATATATACATTATATAAATATACATTTAAATAGAATGAGAAGAAAGAAGTTAAGAGACATTCCCTTGCACAAGTTACGAAGAAGCTAAATTAAACGAAGTCTACCAAGTCCTGAAACCCCAAACCCCAAACCCTAAACCCTAAACCCTAAACCCTAAACCCTAAACCCTAAACCCTCGGGGTTTACGGGGTTGTAGGAAGAAAGGGCGAGGGCCAGCGAAAGTGCTGCCACGTGCTGCTCTCCGCCGCTCAGCTGCGCAAACTGCATAAAGCGTTTTGTGGGAAACTTGCAAACTAGAGAAACCCCGCTGCACACACAAACCCTAAACCCTAAACCCTAAACCCTAAACCCTAAACCCTAAACCCTAGACCCTAAACCCTAAACCCTGAACCCTGCGCCACGCCCAAACGCGCGCAAACAGCCCACTCCGCGGACCCGCCTGAACCCTCACCTCAAACCCTAAACCCTAAACCCTAAACCCTAAACCCTAAACCCTTTTCACCAGTTGAAGGGCTCTTCGTCCCTGGCTAGAGCTGCGGAACTCTCCAAGTCCAAAAAGGCCTGCGCCCCCCCAGTGTCCAGCAGCTCCAGCTGCTGCTGCTGCTGCTGCTGCTGCTGCTGCTGCTGCCAGTGCTCGCTTGCTTGGTCTTCCAGCATCAGTAAGTCCTGCTGCTGCTGCCGCTGCTCGTCCTGCTGCTGCTGCTGCTGCTGCTGCTGCTGCTGCTGCTGCATGGGGCCCTTTCCTGACAAGTGAGCGAAAATGAGAGTTAATACTTTTTGGCAATGGAGGAAGCAACTCATGAAAGCTTCTTTGCGGCGCATGCGCAAGTCTTTGAGGTTTTGTTCTGCTGCTGCTGCTGCCTGCCGCTGCTGCTGCTGCACTTCTTCCTGCTGCTGCACCTGCTGCTCCACCTCCCGCAGCTTCTGCGAAACCTTGAAGTTCGGGTTCAGCTGCTGCAGCTGCTGCTGCAGCTGCTGCTGCTGCTCTCGCAAACTCTGCTGCTCCCCCTTCAGCCGCCCAGGGTCCCCCCTGTGTCTCTCCACCAGCTGCATGCAAGAAGCCCCCAAAGTGCATGCGCACTAAGCAGCAGCAGCAGCAGCAGCAGCAGCAGCAGCAGCAGCAGCAGCAGGAACCAGCAGCAGCAGCAGCAGGCACTGTACCCTTTGCCTTTCCGGAGAAATAGCGTTCCAGTCAAATGAGAAGGAACGCAACGCCTCGTACTGCTCTTGCTGTTGCTGCTGCTGCTGCTGCTGTTGCTGCTGCTGCTGCTGCTGCTGCTGCTGCTGCTGCCGGTCCAAGTTGGTGATGAACTGCTGCACCTCCTTCCAAGTCCCGCGCTGGCGCATGCAAGCAGCAGCAAAACAAAAAAAGCCTTAACTGAAAGCAGCGAATTCGTATGTCCCGCAGCAGCAGCAGCAATAGCAGCAGCTGCTGCAGCAGTTGCAGGAGCTGCTGCAGCAACAGCAGCAGCAGCTGCAGCAGGAATTGCAGAAGCAGCTGCAGCAACAGCAGCACGCTCAGCAGCAGCTGCTGCAGCAGCATTACCTGCAGCGGGAGCTCGAGGCCGAGAGCGTCTGCCTGCCGCAGCAAATGCACAGCCTGGGAGTATTGCTGCTGCTGCTGCTGCTGCGCTGCAGCAGCAGCTGCTGCTGCTTCGGTTTTTTCCCGCAGCAGCCGGTCGGACTGCTGCCGCAGCTCTTGCAGCTCCTTCTCCACTTCCTGCAACAGCTGCTGCTGCTGCTGCTGCTGCTGCTGCCGCTGCTCTTGCTGCTGCTCGGCCTCAGCTAGCTGCCGCTCATAGTCAGCTAGCTGCTGCGTCAGGAAGTCTGTCTGCTGGTGCTGCTGCTGCTGCTGCGCTGCTCTTGCTGCTGCTGCTGCTTCTACTGCGGCTTCCAGGCGGCTGCGGCAGTCCTTCAGTTCTGCTTCCAGCCGCAGCTGCTGCAGATTCAGCTTTGCTGCTGCTGTCCGCTGCTGCTGCTGCTGCTGCTGGTGCAGCAGCAGCTGCCGCAGCTCCCCCTGCGGCAGCTTCAGCTCCTTCGCGAAGTCCCCCATAGCTGCTGCCTGGGAGTCAGCAGAAGCCTCTTGCAGCTGCAGCAGCAGCAGCAGCAGCAGAAGCAGCAGCAGCAGCAGCAGAAATAAGAAGAAAGCCAAACTGGCTTCTCTCAGCAGCTCCAAAATCAGGCCTGGCCTTTGTGGGGTATAAACAGCAACCTGGGATCGCTGGGATCGTGTGGGATCGTGTGGGATCGTGTGGGGGTCTTGTGGGATCGTGTGAGGTCTTGTGGGGTCTTGTGGGATCGCTGGGATCGTGTGGGATCGTGTGGGGTCTTGTGGGGGATTGTGGGATCGTGTGGGATCGTGTGGGGTCTTGTGGGATCGTGTGGGATCGTGTGGGATCGCTGGAATCGTGTGGGATCGTGCGGGGTCTTGTGGGATCGTGTGGGGTCTTGTGGGATCGTGTGGGATCGTGTGGGATCGTGTGGGATCGTGTGGGATCGTGTGGGATCGTGTGGGG